TTTCTTTCGCGAAAGATTGATGGAATTTGGTGGACCATGTTGGGTTCACCGTTGTCGAGTTGTTTTGTGAAGTTGTTTCCTCAACGACGACGACGACGTATGCTCTCTACACGAGTCACCTGTGCAGGTGGGAGAGCCCTGATGACCTGGTCTGGGCTCGGACTCATGACCCACAAGGGTACCACTGTCCGGAAACATGACCAGAACCTGTGGTTTCCTGGAAATTCATGTTTGAGTTAGCAAGTGAGGAATCCATTCTTGCGCCCCAGCTGCCATTCTCCAGGCGAGAAGGAGAGTCGAGTTGAAGCCTCAATGCGCGGGGGTAATGCAGGGGGTCAGACTTGGATGAGATCTATGGAGGGCTTAACATGGTTTGACCATTGGCTCGCTATTAGGTTGGAGGCCATCACTACTACTAGCTTGGAGGCCATCACGACTAGTAGCTTGGAGGCTATGGCTAGTAGCTTGGAGGCCATGGCTATTAGAAACAAAGAGAAAAGGCTATGATTATGATTAAGATGGTCGTCCAAAGACGGACTCCCTGGTTCTTTGAGCCAGGACCAGTGGGTGAAAGGGCGGATGATCGGCATAAAGCTTTGAAATATTCTGGTTGGCCCGCGCTTACTTAATTAAGTAGGCACCTACTTAATTGAGTGAGGGAGTAAGCTCAGGGCGACTAGTGAGCTTCTACCTACTGAACGCAGGATAGTTCACGCTTCTTCAAGGAAGCTCCCCCTGCCGAAGTGGGGGGAGAGCTTCCTTGAAGAAGCGCTCGCACTAGTGATTTGGTTCCTATAGTCATGTTAATGTGGAGAAAAAGACAGGTTCAGAGCACCGAGATCGATACACAACTGCTTCTGTTCGATGATTTCTGGTGCAGCCTGGAGTTCTGATCACCGGTGAAAGCCCCCAACTTCCGAGATCCAAGTGCTTCCGGGATGGCTGAGTCTGGATGCGCAGCTGTACCACAGTACCAGCCGATGGGTCCATATGGCGAAAGATGAAAGCGAGCCAAGCTGTTTGCACTCCAAATCAGGTGGATCTGGGCGCGATTTTCGAGTTCTACCTGCAAGCTGGATCCAAAGATAAGCCTGGAACCCTGTCTACAGACGGCCGCGCTGGCCGAGCTCAAACCTGTTGGGGAACCTACTAGCGATGGCCTCCAACCTACTTGCGACGGCCTCCAACCCAAGAGCGATGGCCTCCAGCCACCAACCTACTTGCAATGGCCTCCAACCTACTTGCAATGGCCTCCAACCTACTTGTAATGGCCTCCAACCTACTTGCATGGGACGGCCTCCAACCCAAGAGCGATGGCCTCCAACCTATTTGGGACGGCCTCCAACCCAAGAGCGATGGCCTCCAACCTACTTGCGACGG